ATCACATTAGAAACTTTATTAGTATAATTAGTTATTTAAGAGTTATCAAAATTACATATTTATTTCAATTGCCTATTAGTGACAGATAAGCAATTTAAATTATATTGTTGTGATTAAGTATTGATTTTCTAAAATCTTAGTTTGTAGTTCGAATATTACTCCCTGTGGGATCGATATCTATGACTCCATTAGAGCCTTATATTACTTGAGTGATACGTATACTTGCGTTGATAAGTGTGACTTTACCATTATTGAATATTTTATATATACATTTTTATCGAATCTATAATCGTTATTAAGTTTTTGGTGTCGTTGCTGAGGAATTAAATCTTCTAGCAACAGTATTAAATAATTGTATTCTTAAGCATATATAAAGTCGCTGTCAATTACCTGTTCATACCTCTTCTGCGACCTTGCCACCCAACGATGCCCGAGGTGATCTATTGATTAGATAACATGTCATATTCACAGCCTCTGCCCAGAAACGCTTAGGAAGCCTTGCATTCAGTCTCAAGCATCTTTCCCTTTCAGTTAAGAACCGTTCATCCTTTTTGCCACACCATTCTGCTGTAGTGTCTTGCGCACTGAAAAATGCCTCTGAATCTCATGCTCCTCGCAGAACTTCTGAAACTGTGAATCTGTGTACTCCGTATCATTATCAGACCTCAAATACTTGATCTTTCTGCCAGTTTGGTTCTCCACCTCAGCTTTCCACAGCTTGAATTTTGAGAAGACTTTAGATTTTAACTTCAAGAAATACACCCAAACTCTCTTGGAAAAATCATCAATAAATGTAACAAAATACTAAGATCCTCCCAATTATGATTCACTGGTACAGCCTCATACATTAGAATGCATATAATCAAGAATCCCTTCAATTTTGTGCTTTCCAGTCATAAAACTGACTCTGGTCTGTTTTCCAAGAACACAGAACTTACAAAAATCGAACTTGCAGCTTTTAACACCATGCAACAAGTTTCTTCTATGTAATTTTGTCATCCCACATTCACTGAGATGACCCAGACACATATATCATAATTTTGTACTATCATCATCTAACTCTACAAAATGAACTCAACCTACAACTGTGCTCCCCAACAGTTTGTAGATATTTTCTGCAGTCAACTTTCCTTTCATCACAGTCAGTGCACCCTTAACAATTCTGATGGTCTCTCTATCCTCATCTGACTTAGGAATGAAACCATTTCTATGTAAAGTGCCCAAGGAAATCAAATTCTTCTTCAAATCTGGAATATATCTGACATCACATAATGTTTTAATTGTGTCATCATACATCTTAATTCTGATTTCTTCAATATCAGCAATATTGCAGCATCTATCATCACTCAAATAGACTGAGCCAGAATTAATTAACCTGTATGAAGTAAACTACTTCTTGTTATGTGTTATGTGATAAGAACACCTGAATCAAGAAACCATGCATCCATGGACTGAGTTCATGAAATTGAAAGTATATCACCATCACTGCAATCTGAATTGTCACTCTGCACTACATTTACAAACTTCGATGATACATCACCTTTCTCCCTAGTATGCTTCTTAAGCTTTGGACAATCGCTCTTTATATGACCTGGCTCCTTGCACCTGTAACAATGAATTGTCTTTTTGTCTTTGGACTTTGATCTGGAATTTCACCTTCCAGATCCCTCCTTCTCTTTCTTCCTTCCACGATCCTGATTACTCTTTACATATAAACTATCGCCATGAGAGCTTTCCCTTACATTCTGCATCTGCTGGTTGTGAGCGAACAATGTTGTAGTAATCTCAGCAAGTCTGATAATTTCTTTCTCATATGTAAGAGTAGTCACCAGGTATTCATAGGAAGAAGGCAATGAACACAATAAAATCATCGCTTGATTTTCATCTTCAATATTCAAATCAAGCTGTGACAGGTCTGTGATTATTTGATTGAAGCATAATGTTTTGCCAGATCAGAATCTTCTTGCATCTTCAGCCCATATAGTTTTGCTTCAGATACAACTTATTCGTCAGAGATTTAACCATAAACTGAGTTTTCAATTTCTTCCATATCTCCCCTAGAGATTTTAAATTCATCACGTGATACATAACTTCATCTGCCTGGCATAGGCGTATAGTTGCTGTCGTTCGTTATTGCAATTCTTCTCAATCTTCATCATCCATGACATCTGATTTTGCTGCCCGCAAAGTTTTTAAGATTCTTTGTTGTGTCAATATATCTTTCATCATTGTTTGTCATAATCCGAAATTACCAGTTCCATCAAACTTCATCACCTTAAATTTTGCATCAGAATTTGACACTTGAAAATTAAACTTGCAACGAATCTTTTCCTACAAATTCCTTCAAGATCTTTCTCTTGTTTCCTATCTTTTCCGCGCCCTCCAAGAAAATTTGAAAATAACCTTCCAAATTTCTTAAACGCAGCCTCTAGCAAAGAAAATTTTAATCCTTTCTCTCGGAATAAATTAAGTAAAATACTTCCTCAAAATTTCACCTCCGTGCAGTCAAGGAAAATCAAAAATAAAAGATTCACTGATTCCCTTCTCCTGCCCTCTGTAGAATATTCCAGAGAAATATTTTCTCGGCGATTCTCGCCTCCAGAAATGAAAAGGCGCGGACCTTCCAGCAAGGCTCCGTCCAGCAAAGGCAACCACCTGTCCAACGAAGCCAAAAAGGAAATTTAGGAAATTTGTGGGAGAGCCCGTGCTCCGTCTCCAGCCCAGTCGCGCGCGAATCGTGAACAGGCAGAGGAAGCTCTAAATCGCCAACAGGAAGTTCTCCCTATCCCGCGGAGGAAGCTCCCTGTCCTTTCCACACTGAACCGCACCGCCGAGCGTTCGCCTGCGTTCGCAAATGGAGTCGCAAGTTGTCGTGATTCGTGAATCCTTGCTCTTTCTCAACCGCCGAGATTTTCTTCCTCTCGAACCTAAGCTCTAAGCTCTGATACAAGGGCGAAAAAAAAACAGAAATCGACACAAATACAAAAGAACACAATGATGAGTTTCAGCAAAAATGACTACATCATCGGGAGCAGAGCGGCGAGTTCCTTTCGTTATTCAGAAAAGAGATGACAGAATTTGAGATAACACTTAGGGTTATATACATGCCTATTTATAACCCTAGAAAATCCTGGAGTACAATATATAATTATCAAATTATCCCAACTCACATAAGAAAATTCTTCTGATTTGTACAGAATCTTCCGCTCCGCTCCAGCATCTATCTCTTTATGATATATTAGCCATATTCAACAGAGTATTTGTCCTCGAATTTGCACAAATGAGAACCATAAAAAATGTCATGGTATATTTGGTCAGTAGCATCATGCTGCCGCAAGGGTAGGTTTTGCGGCCTCAATTTGGATAGTTTTTCCTATAATCTTTGTTGAGGTATGTTCTGGTCTGATGTTTATTAGTTTGAACTTTAGCTAGAAGATTTTTGGTCCATTGCTCTACCAAAATATTTATTGTAGGTCAACCCCAATCTTTTGGGCCATTTGTAGATATAGCAATCATGCAAAAATCTCTTTAGAGATGGAGTTCTAGATCCAAGGAATAACAATATCATTGTTACTATTTCAAGAGCTCAGAAGATCGAGAAATTCACCTTCTCATTTGGGTATTGATCCATCGACAAAAGAAGCAATTGAAACAAAGCACTGTGATGCCATATTACGAAGAGAAAATTAGAAAAGACAAAACTTAAAATCTAAAGGGGAATTTACATACATACCACCCTAAAATCCCAAGTACCACAATTTTACCAACCTTAACCTAACTCCGTCTCCTTCCCCAGCACTTCGCGTGAGGGATCCTCCATTAACAAACTCAAGCAAAAGGATGTACTGTTCTGAGACAACTAAAGTGGAGATCTTTGCAAACAAGGTATCACTTTGCCTTTATTTTCAATTCCGCATATCTCGAGCTTTTCATTTCCGTTTGTTTTTGCTCCCCCTTTTTCGATTCCCTTTCCTTTTCCAATCTTGAGAACATGATTTTCATTGTCAATTTATATGCAGGAATTGTTATTAGTGATTTATGGCTAGAACTTGTGATCTGAGACTGTGCGGCCTATTTCGTGGTTCGCATTGGGAAAATTCATTGGAAAGGTATGTAAACCCTTGATAGCTACTAAGAAAATTGATTTGAGACCAAATTGAAAGCATTGATTGCAGAATCTCTTTTTCAATTAAACAATTTTTTCATGTGGCATATATTATTCATTGTCAAATGCATCCTGTGTACGCTAAATAGAACTTTCATTACTCCAATTATGATCTTCTCTTGCAATATATTGTGGGCAATATTTCTTTTGATTATTAGGCATTTAGGTGAACTAGTGCACTGGATGAATAACTTGAGTTTAACTTGATTGATACTGGCTCGGATTATTCATTAAACATGTTCAAATTCTTTCTAAAATTTCCAAAGCTCAATAAATCTAGTTTGAATTCAGTCCAACTTTTCTACATTCATGAATATATTTATTTTTTTATTTAAGAGACTCATATATTAATTAAATTTTTTTAACTATAACTTATTTAATTGCTTATTTAAGAGTATAATATTAGACATTTTTTGTTGTTATAGGGGATTTTTCCAATTTCATCTCTTATCCTCTCATTCCATATTTTGCTTTCTGCCGCTATTAAGCATTCTAGTTTTTCTTACTTAAGTTAAAACTAGATCATCTTGATGGTTATGCGAGCCTTTCTTTTTCCATTTTCAATAAAAGAACAAGTCCCATTTCGTTTCTATGGATTTGTTGAGTCCAACATTGTCAGCTCACATTCCATGCTTGGCTTTTCTAGCTGAGAAGCACCCCAGAGCTATCAAGATGTTCTTTTGCATAGCATAATTACACCAAATCGGCGTAGTTATGTCAATCCAAAGGTTACCAAATGGTTTGACCTGTAACCATGCCCAGAAAGGCATAACCATGCCGCATTGGCTTTCTTCTAGATATTTCTTCTCGAGTGCGCGAAATAATTATATCAAGCAATGGCGTGGTTACGCTGCCAGATAGTTCCCTCCTGTTACAGTTCTTATGTCGCATTTGGAGAACGAAGTACACTTTCCTCACGTGTAGTGTTTCTCAACAAGGTTTTTCGTGAAGTGAAAAATGATTGAAGAGGAGGATTTTAGCGAGGGCTTTCTCTTGTGAGATTGAGATAAATAATTGAAGCAAAGTTTTGCAAGTTTCTATATTTGCAAAGCATTGATTTGAGTGTTTATCTCCGTACATTTCTGGTTCTTCATAGTGAGTTTTTTTTTTGGGTGTGGCTTCATGATTTTTTCTGTTCTTGGATTTTTTCATGTAAATCTCAATGCGTTTTTCTTAGATTAATTTGTTGTGTTTTTATTTGATTTATTTTGTTCTGAATTTCTTGAATTTGTGTGATCCTATTACGTGGTGTGATTTTAATTGTGAACTAATTGAAGCTCTATGTGCCCATAATCCATCCAATCAAATTCATGATTAATTTGAATATTCCTATGTAACATTTAAGATGGCTGAAAAGTTAAAGTCTACCAGGATCTATTTCGTTGGAATTGTCATTGATGTGTTAACAACTTCAAGTGGTCGGAAAACACTCTCAACGAAGACAAATCCAAATCAAATCACCCTCTTTAAAAGATGCAAATTTCCGAGTTTTATTCGATTGAGTTTGATATCTAGTATTCTATTTGATAGTTTTTTCTCGGATGAGCTCATGCAGCTCGTGAATTTTTTTCATTCGCAGCTCAACATCTGGATTAGACTCTCAGTTATTTACAGGGAAGGAATAAGCTCAAGTGGTGAAATTGGATTCCGTTATGATAGAATCTTTATTGCATTGTGTATGTGGCAGCCTAACAACGAAATTCAAGTCCCATTTATCCATCCATAGACTTTTAGGAACGGGAAGTGAAATATATAATCCTGTATTTTTTGAGCCTGTATGTTGGCTTGCCAACATGTCCTGCATCTTTTTACATAACGATCTGTCTCCAGTAATTGAGTCTTCAATGATTACTAAACTCTTGTCACCAAAGAAATGTCCGTCTAGGCTTCCATCATGGCATTCGGACAAGATTGCTTCTCTAGTAGAACACATGAGAAAGTATAGATGATTTAGAGGAAACCAGCTTTAATATGAAACATTTGTATGATCTGGACTGACACAACTGTCAAATTTCCTAAAATCTGCATCCCGTTCATTTAATTTCTTGTTCTCAAGGTAAAGAGCACCATTATTGGTCGGCTTAAAGCATCTGCAACCTGATTTGTGCTGCCAGATTTATGCTTCAAGTTGAAGTGAAAATAAGAAAAAAATTCAACCCAAGTGGCATGTTTTCCTTTCAAGTTATTTTGAGATTGAAGATATTTTATTGCTTCATAATCGGTAAAAATCACAAACTCATTAGCTAATAAATAATGGGTCCAGAGCTAATGAGCTCTTATGATTGCGTAGAATTATTTGTCCTAAGTAGGATATTTTTTTCTGGACTCTTGTGTTTTTTACTAAAAAAAGCAATTGGATGACCCTTTTGATTAAGGACCGTCACTATACCGACACCAGAGGCTTTACATTCAACTTCAAACATATTGTTGAAATCCAGCGGGAAGCCACGGAGCTAAAGCTCTCAATGAATCTACCATAAAAAGATGCCAACCCATAAATTTGTCGCACTTCTGTGAATGAGTGAGGTTTCGGCTAATCTAAAATGGCTTTGATTTTTGCTGGATTCACCTCCATTTCTGCAGCACAAATTATAAAGCCCAAGAAATTAATGGTAGGAACCAAAATCCTCACTTAATTGAATTGGCAAACAGTCGATGTTCATGCTACACTGCAAAAATGTGTTGTAAGTATTGTAAATTTTCATCCATAATTCGGTTATAAACTAAGATGTCATCAAACTATATCACAACAAATTTTCCCATTAAGGGACAAAAAACTTGAATCATTAAGCTAAGTGCTTGGAACATTTGATAGACCAAACGGCATCACATTCCATTTAGACAAGTTGTCCCAAGTTATAAATGACATTTTCCATTCGTCTCTAAGGCCCCGTTTGAGGCAGCTTATTTGGTGAGGTGTGTTTTTAGGATTGTTTAGGTAAACTGCGTTGACAGCTTATTCAAAAAGCAACATTTTCAAACCTCTGAAATCAACGTTTTCACGTCGTTCCTGGATAGTTGCGGTGACAATTTTCTAGCTGCAGTCTGACTTTTCTAAAAAAATAAATTATAATAGCTGTCGCAGCCTTTTGAACAGCAGGTTATCCCAAACAGACTTTAAGTCACATTCGAATTTGGTGATACTCTCCTTAAGTCATCTTTGAAAATATTGTGGCCACATTTAGTTGGTCAAATAGCTTGTCAAGCTGTGGAATAAGAAATCGATCTTTAATTGTTATTTTGTTCACAGCTTGACTATCAATGCACATTCGCCATGTTTCGTCCTTCTGTGAAACTAGGAGAGCGGGGAAAGCGCATGGGCTTATGCTTAGTTTAACCGAGCCTTTTCAATCAATTCTTCAACATGACGTTGTTGTTCTTGGTATTCTTTAGGACATATGATAAGCAGGTGAATTCATAATAACAAAACTGGAAATCAAATCAATAGCTTGCTACACATCTCGCATTGGTCGTATCCGATAGGAATGATTTCCGAAAACACAGCCACAAATTTGTATAATAAGGATTTAACTTCGCGAGGTGTGGATAAAAATTTTGAATTAGTTTTAGCTAAGAGGAGTGAAAATCTAGTGGTAGCCTCCTTCAATTCTTTTAAGCAATAAGGATCGGATGGGTGTTTTAGATGATGTTATCTGTTGGGCTTCCTCTCAATATGTGCACCATTTTGAGTGAGAGTATGTATTAGCAAATCCATCATGGATTGTTCGACAGTCTTATTATCATGATCGACATATTAAAATGTGACAGACATCAATCATGGTGACAGTCGTATTGTCATGATCGACATATTAAAATGTGACAGACATCAATCATGGTGACAGTTGTATTGTCATGATCGACATATTAAAATGTGACAGGCATCCATCATAACAGCATCACAACGAACTCTTTCCTTAAATTTTTGACCAATGAAAAATTGAACCAAACATTGTTTGTTGACTTCTATCTCACTACTCTTCTTATGTTGTGTGAGTTGATATGGGTGTAGTTGGGGTTTTGTTGTCAAGCTGAGCGTTTCCGCCATTCTGGTTGATACCACATATTCGCCACTTATACCATCAATAGTTAGGTTACATATCTTTTCTGGCATAGTTCACCTTGTTCTAAAAATATGTTGGTGAAGCCATTCTTCATCTAAGACGTGCTCAGCATTCAAGAGGCGTCAAAAAATCAGAAGTTCCCCTTAATCGATCCGGAGAACTTGTACATCGACTTGGGCACTAACTTCCTCCATTCCATAATCTTTTCTTCAAGGTTTAATTCTTCGACAAGAAAAACTAAACGATGATTTGGATAATTGGAAGAGATGTGTTGATAAATTAGGGCGAAGAAAAACAGGAATCAATGCAAATCCAGAAGAACACAAAGATTTAACGAGGTTCGGTAAAGATGCCTACGTCCTCGAGAGCAGAGCAGCGGTTTTTCACTAATTCAGAAAAGAGAATACTGAATTCAAGGACAATCCTCAGGGTTGCATACAAGCCTAATTTATAACCCTAGAAAGTACATAAAAAAGAAAACTTGGGTACAATATGTAATTACCAAATTACCCATGTACCACACCCCCAACCCACATATGAAAACTCTCCTGATTTGGAAAGAATCTTCCGCTCTGCTCAGCTCCTGATTTAGCACTGTCCATTTATGGTGTATGAGTCATATCTAACAAATCTCCACCTTGGCGAATATCCAGTCCCTTAGGAGAAATACGTCATGGAGTTTCTTTCATACCAGAAGTGGGTTGGGCCACCATACTTCTCTAGCAACTGCAGACATTCAACAAGCTCAAGCAATGCAAGAACTTGTTGATAGTAATTGGCTTGGTCAACATATCAGTTGCATTCTCATCAGTATGAACCCTCTGCAACAGTATCTCCCCATAAACAATCAATTCTCTGATCTTGTGATACCTGACATCAATGT